ATATTTCATTGGATGTTATAGTCAACTAAAATAAAAAAAAACATTATGTACCTACATACTTTATATAGATATTTTTCATAAGAGGTATTTTAAAATGTTAATATAGAATCTTTATTGGATAAATCGTTAGATCATTATATCTCAGTTTAACTACCAATGCAAATTTACAATATTCCCACTAATCTGCATAACTGCTGTTCAGATTTCAATTTATCTGCTATTTTCGTTCATATTTTAAATTTTTATGATATGCTGTTTAAGTTTGTTTTATTATTTTTAACAATCTTCTATTTTAAATTAATGGTTTAACAAATTTCAGCAACACTAATTTCTATTCTTGGTAGTATAAAATATATATGAAATAAATAATACTAATTATAAAATAATTAATGTATTGTAATAGTAATTTTGGGATGGAAAAAAATATATAATTTTCCTTATTATTATTTGTTAATAAATGTTAAACTGTGGAATGAGCGCTTACCCTAGAATTATTTATACACTGAATCGTATACAAAAAAAGAGGAAAAATATGTATTTTTCTTGCAAAACTAACAAAATATTTTTCCAAAAAAGGATATACAAAGATTGTATCAAATACATGAATTTAATTTTCCCGTCGAATGACTTGTGTGAATGATAATTAACATAATATTAATAAATAAATCTTAATTACATACATGACACAGTTTTCACACACTTATACAAATATTTGTAAATATGTTTTATTACCAAATTATTATATAGTAGGTTATTTAAACAAAATATATACGATGTATATAGGTTACAAAAGATTAATGGAGAAGAAGTATTAGAAAAATAAAAAGCGAAAAGATTAGCGACAATTCCTATTTAGAATATTGTTTAGCTAGAGATTTTACCATTTAATCAAACATGAACGTGAACGCAGTCGCGGCCATAAAATGTTAAAATAATATTAAACAGACAAATGGAATTCAGATATTAAATGCCATGTTAATCTTGTTCAAATGATATTTATGATTAATAATCACAGCAATAATATTAATCTCTGTCCAAATTGCTTTTAATTAATTGTTAATTCGAAATTAAAATAAATTATATTGTACTATTTTTATGGTAATGATGCGTTTAATAACGTTTTTGCATTAAAATAATACAATTTTTTAAATGGAATTATGTCTTTTTCCAGTTACTTAAATGGCCACATAAAATTGTATTCATTTTAACAGTTAATGTTTTTATTATTCGTAAAGAAATAATGGACATTACGAAATCAAAATTAATTAAAAAATTGTAGTTTTAATTTATTTTTGCTTTTGTCGCCAATGTTCACTTATCGGCTTATTAATAATAATTAATCATAGATACTTTAAGCCCTGAAAATTAATAAGGTAGTTATATCATTTTTCATAATCATTTTTTTTATAATTTTAATTTATAGTACATACTTGGAGGTAGGGACAGTAGACTTTATATTATATAATAATTCTATTCGCTTTATGATCATTAATTAAAGTTAGCTTACTATTTCTCATTAGACTATTATAGTTACTTCCGAAAAAATATAAAGTTAGTAAATAAGATTTGTCTCTGTATGAACAGTTGAGGTATGCATATGAAAGGTTTACAAAAAGATCGACAATAGAAAGAGTTCAAATAAATCATTACCTTCACGCCCAACCTTGATTTATTCACATTTCATGTTGGGGTGAGTCACAAACATCCGCCCCTTAGTTCCTCTTTATTTATGACCCCTTAATATTATTCACCTGGTTTAAGTGACCGAGCGATCTTATCTGGAAATATTATAAAACCACGGAGTTTTTAAGAAACCAAGCATGCATTATTTTTGTACTTTATCTGCAATTATCTATCTATTGATGTTGTTTTTTTATCTAAAAACATGATTTTTATTATTACCATAGCATTACAGTGAGTATTGTCACGCAATGGTCACATTTTTCAAAGCATTAAAGACGCAAATATGATTATGATGCACTATCGCAAATTATGTTTTTAAGAGTCATATTGCGTCATTTATTAAAGAAAGGAAATAGGTCTACGTTTGTAATTAACTGTATAAAATGCAATGTAATTTCAAGCACTGATATGTCAAGGTTGCCAATGAACTAAAATATTGACATTGAATCGATAAAAAAAATCTAAAATAAATTGAAGCATTTTTAATTAATCAATAATTAATTAAATTTGTAAATTAAAAAAGGTATATCTAAGATAGACTTATTTATATACATATATTAAACTTCCGAAAGTGAAACTTTTTTAGTTTACGTCTGAAAGCAGAGGGTGGAAATGCTACAGGAATATTTTGGAATTTTCTTAAAAAGTATCAACTGACAAAAAGAATTTATATGATCTACCATAGTGCACAAATATATGTGTTACCTCAATACTATATAAGTGTAAGTCCACACACTATCATTAGTATTAACCTTACTTGTTTTTCCCCATCATACAAACTATTATTATATTATTACTATAAAGCTTAATGGTAGAAAAATACAATGCTAAGTAAGATTACTAAAAACTTTTTTACTGCCGGATATTGAATATACATATATTACTTCCGGATCCCAAAAGCAGCCCTAAAGTCGTAAAACAGTTTTATCTCATAACTTTAAACTAACTATTTTAATCTTTATACTTTCTTTATTGAAAAAACTTAAAGGTCAATACAAAAAGTATTTTTATCTTCATCTCAATTTTAAGAATGACCTTAAAAATGGGTTAAATATTTTTATACTAGCGAAAAGCATAGTAATAAAAATGTATGTATAAGCATCGTTGCCAACAATATCCAAAAAAGGTTTAATGTTATAACTCTTAATAGTTTTATTATCTATTTTATAAAATTCCAAGTAAAGAATTACTAATTTATTTCCTGCTTCTATACTGTGGAGATCGATTGGTTAAGGAATAGTTACATTGACAGTCAATTCCGCAATAAATAACATAAATCGTGCGGATTGAACATATACTAAAAATTAACTAATTCTAAATAGGAAGTACAGAGTTCATATATCAAGTCGTACTTAGGAAGTCGATGCTAAACATATCCGATATATCACAATGGGAAACCCTAAGTAGAAGGTTGTTCCGTGGTGAAGGCTTATGATTAAGTTGTCTTAATAACAATTAACCTGATCTTATTTTAGTTAGCAAAATGCAGAGCAAGAGTAGAGTCACCCATAGTGCTGCCATGTTCGCGTTGTTTAGGTTAATAAAATTCTTTATTTCTTGCGTGCTAATATCATATCGTGCTTTAAAGTTTTTGTGTGTGATATTTTTGTTTATTTACTTGTGATTTATTTGTTTGTGAGTTTTATACGCCGATAATAATGTAAACTTTATTTACACGTATAATGCATTGTTATCTTAATTTTAATAATAATCAATTGCTGTAATTATACAATTATTATAATCGTGGTACATATTTGTTTAGCTGCATCTAATTGTATTGTGTAATCCATGATAACGCTTAGATATACTGAAAACGAATTATGATAATTAATTTATTAATGATGACCTACATGACAAATAATGAACTGTGTCTACATAATTAAGTTTGTCTTCAGTGATAGTAATCTCATTGTTTTTTGCCAGCTTTGATTATTTTGTAATGTTTTATTGACATTTTTAAGCCTGATGTTATTAACAAATGGAGTAAACGCGCTTGTAAGCAGTAATGGGTTGAGCAACTATTCGTTTCCCGACGATTTTATTTTTGGAGTAGCGACGGCTGCATTTCAAATAGAAGGAGGATGGAATGAGGGTGGTAAGTGTTTGATATTTAAGATTTATATGAAATCTAAGTATCTGAATGAATAATTAATTCCTACTTTTAAAATTGTAAACTTCAATTGATTGATAACAAATAAACACTACAAACAGTTGTAAAACGACCAAAAATTATCTGATATAATATAACCCTATATTAAACTAACATTATTTTATATGTTTATCTCTCGTAATCGTATATCCGTGTAATTCTGCCTTTCATTGAAACACTAACCCCATTAACTATTTTGATAAAGTTAATACATAAACAATTAATGCATAATTATTTTATAGTAATGTAGAATTAGTTTTTGTGTTTTATAAGTAAATAATAAAGCAATCGTCTCATATATTAAATATATTTTCTCAATAAAAAATCTAATGATAACTATCATTATTAATAGATTTTTATTCTAGGAATATTTCACTAGGGATTATTGTATTTGAGGAAGGAAAAATACAATAATTTACTTATCATTCATACATTGATATTATTACCTACACGTGGATACAAACCTGTATTAAGAATTTCGTTTTTTTGTTACTTTAATCGTATATACGAGTTTTAATATATCATTAACTCTGGGGCTTAGTTGCGTAATATTTTTTAATAACAATAAACAAACAGTGATAATGGTTTGATCAATTTAAAAAGTCATCCATTGAAAATCTTTTAATTATTAAACCTCAAGAGTACAAGTTGAGACATAAGTAGAATAGTTTAAGTATACAAGACGTGATTTATTGGAAATAAAAAAGATGTACATATAATAAAGACAATTTAAGTTTGGACTAAAGTTTAAAATATTAAATACTATATTTTGTCAGCAAGGTTAAAAAACAGAAATGGTATGATTAACAATAAAAAGTAGATTATATTATAGTCGTACCAACGTGAACTTGTTTATTTTATAAAGAGTATTAATAAAAATATTTAAATTAGTTCCTACTTATTACAAGTTCAAACTAAATGTCAAAAACTATTAAGACAAAAGTTTACGCGTTAACTACTTGGATGTGGCTAAGTTCGTGGCTGTTTTAGTATAACTATTCCACAAGAAAGCAAAATTTAATACCAAGGAATTTCCACTGTTAAAATATCACAAGTAATATCCTTCTTGTGGTACTTTGCGAGTTTTATATGTATGTAAACTTAACTACGTTTCGATTTAATTTTTTTTTATATTTGTGTTGTTATCGTTTTAGGTAAAGGTGAAAGCATGTGGGACACATATTTACACAAACACCCTAAATTCACGGTGGACCATTCGAACGGAGACGTGGCCGCCGATTCATATCACAAATACAAACAAGATATAGTACTGATCAACTCAATCAAAGTAAAATATTATCGACTTTCAATATCATGGCCAAGGTAACTAATAGTTGTACGATATAAAACGCTTCAATTATAGACGGGAAAACCGTGATCTTATACAAATGTATGAAATACCTAGATTCTCTCTCTAATGTTTTTGTTTTTTGGTTATTCTGAATAACGATACTCTTTATATTTTTTACATTATTCGAGTGATACATTTGAAATTAAAATTTAGCACTTATATTTTTTATTACGTCGTTGTTTGACAAACAGTGTCAGGCGGCAGAATTTTTTGTTTGAATAAATATTAGACTTTAGTTTTATGTCGACCACAGGTGTTATTTATTAGATTTTACTTTACAATTATTCATTTTTTACTCTTAGTGTCCGGTATTTTAAAGATATTTCAAATTTAAAATTCTTACTAAGGTCACCTTAAATTGAAACTAAATATAGAATCTTTTCAATGCCGGTTTTTTTATTACCAGCTAATCAAATTCTTTTTATAAACTTAATAGACTGACTTTTGAAATCTTAAATATCAAAAATACTTTGATATCTCATGAGTATGAAGTTGATGAATGTCTTTATAAATCAAACACGATATTAAATAAGAAATATTAATAATATTATTTCACCGCTTTACATATTTATTGGGACAATAACCATAAATATCTATGTAAAATAATAAATACAATAGGTCCTGTACACGACTATGTGTAACATTTTATTCGATATTACAAACCATTCTTTCTCAGAAATGCTGTGGAATTTCTTCGCAAATCTTTATTATTCTCACCCATCTGACAGCTAAAGATTTGTAAGCATTAGAACTAGCTTCTCTTAAGAATTGTCTCTGAATAATACGTTTTAGCCGTATTATTTCTTTGTATTATTTCCATTACGTCTATCTTTAAATATTTAATAACTATTATTAATTTCGTAATTGTGAGTTTATTTTTATTCTGTGTCATCTTGGAGAAATAAGGTTTTGTTTATTAATAAAAAAGTAAGGACAAATAAGAGTATTTATAATTTTCAATTAAATTTTTAAGTTTATAGACTTCGTTCCTTTTATTTTACACATCTCTAAATTGAATTATAGTTCAATTGTAAGACATTGTTACTTTAAGTATGTCATTCAACTGTCTTTTAATGCTTTGTGGCTTAGACCTAATTCAATATTCGATGCAAGTTTAAGGAAATTTAGAATAAAAGGAAAAAAAAAATAATATCCGGGGTTTTTATTGTTTAAAATAATAGACCATAGCAATAAGAACAATTGTTTAAAGTAAATAAATAAATATTTAACAAATTATGATTTTTTAAGGACATGTTGTGAAGAAATGTTTCATTAAAATTCTGTATAATCTTCAACAGATTATTACCACATGGAACAGACAACTACATCAGCAAAGATGGAGTCAGATACTATCGAAAGCTATTCGAAGAACTAATAAAAAACAAAATAACTCCCGTTGTCACACTGTATCATTGGGATATGCCAACAGCTCTAATGGATTTAGGCGGATGGACTAATCCCAAAATGGTGGATTACTTTGAGGACTACGCGAGAGTAGCATTCACACTCTTCGGAGATATTGTAAAAACGTGGTCCACTATGAACGAATTGCATCAACATTGCTTTAACGTAAGTCTGTTGTTTTAAATGTAAATTGATCTTCGAATTTTAAACCAAGACTTGTTTTGAAATTTTGTTTTAAATTACCTAAAATTTTCTGTAAATATATTATTAAAAGTTACTATAAGTTCCACTATCTACATATGTTTAAAAAGCATATTTAAATTTTATACAAAAGTTGGACATTACTTTTTACGATAAGTAATCCGAGTCTCATGGCAATTCTTATACATTTTCTTGTATAAAATGCTTTCTTGATAATTTTAATATTTTTACGTCATATTACTTATCTTCACCCCCATGTTTAGATGTATAATTGAAATTCTTAATGTTAGATATCGATAGGGTAAAAAGAAGTAACATAACTATAATGGAATTTTTAAATGAAACTAATTTGGTAGTTTTTTGTTTCATATGCAAACATATGCAGACCTAAAAATGTTTATACAATTATTTTTTAGCAGGATTAGCTCAACAATTATGTTGTACATAAACTCCGTACAAAAAATATTATGTAGTATGGATATGTTTTGATAACTTGTATAAGGTCGTCTTGCTTTACTCGCAAAAATTCATCGAAGTCAAACACATTTATTGCCATTTTATTGACAGAAAAATAATAATTTATAAGCATGATGTCAAGCAAGTTTTTTTTAATAACAAGAACGTAACGTGGTTAAATATACAAAAACTATCATTTATACACATTTAATCTTTTGTAAGAAGCTGTTTATGAGTGTCGGAACCTACTTTAATTCTCCAAATCTTTCCTCTGATTACCTATGTAAATGTGAAATCCGTTTAAATTATTTGTTTTGAAATGTATTAACTGCTCAACTGCCGTTTTGAAAACTGGATTATGTATGGATATTACACGAGGAAGAAGGATGAATACCATCCCTAAATATAATGTTCCAGAAGAAAAACAATAAAATATTTTATAAATGATTCAGTATACGGGTAGTTTAAATTCTTGAATAACATTCGAATTAAAAAAACCTTTTTTGTTGTATTAATAATACAGAATTTTTCTATGACAGGGTTATGGCGGTGATGTTTTTGTTCCTGTCCTAAAATCACATGGTGTTGGTGCATATTTATGTTCACATTACATGCTGTTGGCGCACGCACGAGCTTATCGGTTGTATGACAAGCAATTTAGACCACATCAGAAAGGTAATGGAATGTTATATAAGTACATATAAATGTACCATCACGAAACTTTGACATCTATATATATATTAAAAATTATTAAAGAACTATATAATTTCTTGTTCACTTTCACGTTATAAATGTAGTATAAAAAATGTAGTAAATCAGAATCACTTTATATTTTAAAGGACAGAAATTTAATAATATCTTATTTATTTACACAAAAGCCTATGCAAACAATGGACTCTTAGCAACTGTTCGCTTTTAAAATTGCAGATAAAGAAATCAGAATATAAATAACATTAAAAATAAAAAAAAACAAGGGCGTTAAAATATTTTAACTTTTTGAGTGAAACCATTCATCTTGCTTTAAACTATTCATTTCAATTTTTAAAGTAAATTCTTCTGCTTTAAAGCAACTTATCACTTCAAAAAATATGAATTGTGGAAAAGGTTTTATACCGTTAAAATTCAAATGAAATTGGAGCAAGATTTTTTGCAATAGTAAACTATTCTCGACCTAACATAGGAATTGGAATTGTTTCAGGAAAAGTTGGTATAACTTTAGACGCATTTTGGGCTGAACCTAAAGATTCTAATAAAGACGAAGATTATGAAGCGGCAGAACGTTATCTTCAGATGCATGTACGCTATGATTAATAATTAGTCACTAAAAACATAATATACGTAAACACAAAGTTAATTTGCTATTTATTGTTAAGATTTACTTGGTTACATTTCCTCTATTTGTTTCTCCGTCGTTCCAAGGCCCAGTCTCTTATTTATTACCTTAAAAGCTTACAACAGAACGTGTTGAAAGTCACGTCTCTATGTATATCAGTCTGTCAGATTTTCTAAGGACCATGTTCCAAATGTAAAAAATTAATAACTTTAGTTTAACATACATTAAGATTGATAAATCATAAAATTGAGAAGTTTAATTTTTTAATTAATCATTAAAGAACGCTCTGTTTTTCTTATGATACATATAACTCTATTGAACGTTTATATTTTCTATTTTTAAATATGTAAAAAATCAACAACGTTTTTATTTTATTTTTTAATATTTTCTTCTACTATTTCTTGCTTTGAAATAATAGTGTATAATGTCCCATCGCAGGTGGGTTTGTTCGCTCATCCAATTTATTCAGAGGAAGGGGACTATCCTTCATTAGTTCGAAAAAGGATTGATGATATGAGCCGCAATCAAGGTTTTGCCAGATCTCGATTACCAAGTTTTACCCCTGAAGAAGTACGTATACATAAAAACGGACGTTTAGTTACATCTTTAAGTATTTGTCTAAACATAATATAGAGAAATGAGAGTGATCTGATATTTATTATAAATACTAAAAAACATTTGATTTTTAGGTTGCGATGGTACGAGGTAGTTCGGATTTCTTTGGTATCAATCACTACACCACATACTTAATGTCAAACTCATCTATGGAACCTGGTTGGACTGTTCCCTCTGTAGACCATGACACGGGAGTAAAAATTGAGCAGAGCAAAGAATGGCCTATACCAGGTGCCGAATGGCTTTCAGTAAGTAATTTAGTAAATTCCAATATCGACGTTAGTATTATGCTACTTTTGCTAGTGGCATTACTTAATTTTTGTATCATATGACACAATGTTAGTTAGATGTTTATAATACAGATGGAAAAAAACTATGGAACACGTATATCCTATCGTCATCAGTAATTACAATTAACCATAATTGTTTTGTTCGTGTTGTCTGATGTCTCACATTTAGAAGACATCTAAAATTCCTTTTTGCGATTTAAAAGAACTGAACTTAAAACTCTGCCTTAACCTGGTATAATCGTTTTCATACATTTAAAATCAAATTACTTTAAATTATTAAATAAAAAATAAAAATAATGTATCTGTTTTTCTAGCTTCGTTTGATATCTTTTAACAATAAAATCGTCATTGAAAATAATTTTATTCATCAGTGATTAGCATTCTAAAATTATTTTATCATTGAAACAATTATCGCAAAAGGGCGTAACTAACATTTAATACGTATCCGCATTCCGAAGCTTGTAAGTTTTTTACAAAATAAAATTCAAAGTACTAATATCAGTATGAATAAATATAGACATTCGTAAATTATACATATTGTAAATCATTTAAAACATTGTATATCCTGAAACGATTGAATTTGTAAACACAATGAAATTTCATGTAAATCTAAATGTTATAATGAATTACTAATTAATAATTTTGTCGTTCAGTGGTTATAACAAAAGTTTCGGTTAATATTATATATCTGAATACGTTCATAATTTTTAACACAGATAAAATATAATTTTACAATTATTTCAATTGTATGTATGGTAAATTATTATTTCTTTATTATTTAATTTTCGAAATATTAACGAAACTGTACAATATTTAATCCAAATAGAAATGATTATTACTATTTAATTAGTCTTGCTTTTTCAACAACATACAATAAGATAAATATTTTTTTAGGTTTATCCCCCAGGATTTCGAAAACTCATGAATTGGATAACCAAGAATTATGGTAAAAGAGTGCCTATTATTGTAACAGAAAATGGGGTATCGGATTTCGGTGGTAAGGAAGATTACTCTCGAGTGTCATATTTTAATAACTATTTGGAACAACTTTTATTGGCGATTCACAAAGACGGTTGTAATGTAGTCGGATACTTCGCTTGGACTTTAATGGACGATTTTGAATGGAACGATGGATACAAGTAAGAGTTTTTTCATGATTTTTGATGTTTTTCTTAAAATATATATTTCTTGTTAGAAAAACCCTATGTGTGTTTGTGGGATCTAGAAAATTAACCTCTTTAATAGGCTCTTAAAAAAGAAAGACATTATAACGTCTAATTACATTAATTTTAAACCTTTTCATTGTTTTATCAAGTACTACATAGGTGTGCTTATGTTAGCTGAATAGAAATTAATTTACTTTATCAAAGTTACATTTCGAAATATTTGAATTTTTCTTTTTGTGTCTCATCTCATTAAGGAATCATTTTAAATTAGTTCCTTTTATTTACGTCATGTTTGCACAAATTAACTAATAATTAAATTTGTAATTATAAAAAATATGTATCAATTAAATCTTAATAATATTTAAATGAATTCACAACTTGTAACAGTTATATGATTACCGTGACTCACGATGTTAGTTGAAGTCAAGGTTAAACAACCCACTGTTTTAATGTCTTTTTTTGTTTTTGATGTCGATTCTTTTTTTGGTTATTTTTTAATCTTTGAGTTTTTAATTCTTAGGATTTATAAATTGTATGTAACAAATATTTTAGCTAATAAATGTTCTTTTTACAGGGTGAAATTTGGTCTATTTCATGTGGATTTCAACAGCCCAGATAAAAAAAGGAGCCCAAAATTATCAGCGCTCAATTATGGCGAAATCGTACGCACGAGGCGAGTCAATTTCAACTACATAAAGATGCCATCGTTTAAATATAATACTTTATTGTAACTTTAAAATCATAATATTATACTTTGTTATTATGTTTTGTAAATAATGTATAAAAATAGCTGTATAAGTATTTAATTTGTTGTTGAAGTTATGATTAATTAAATGTAAACTGGCATTCCTCGTTGAATTCTTTTGCGTTTGATTGTAATTTAATAATTATTAAATAATAATTTAGGTACGTCCCTATACTATAAAATAATCAATATTTTTGTTTCACACCTTTACTCACGCGACCATCAAGAATATCAAGAAAAAAGTAATTAAGAAAAATATTTTTTGTTATTACTTAAAGTTTATTTCATAAAATGTATTTCTCAAAACTATTAACTTGTCTAATCATCTCGTGTTTTGTAAAATTTGAGAAAATAAAGGTAGAATTAATATTCAAAGGAATTCAAGTTAATAATGTCATCAAAATCAAAGAAGTCAAATTTCTGACTCATAAAATAATATAAGGTTTTTCCACATAGTTATTATGGCTTACGATGGATGAGTCAAGCAAATTTGTAATAGAAGAGTACTAGTAGAATATGTTTGTTATAATTTTTGTTACTTAAAACATGCTATGGGTTCCTTTAAACAGGCTATTCGTTCTTCTTTTTCATGTACATATATGAAATAAACAGGTAGAAATAGTAGTTTCCTGAAAAAATTAAAAAAAGAACATGCAATAGTTATTGTGATGTTAACATACACCCAGGACATGGTTTATGACGGCTACATATCATACGGATAAGCATTTGCATTTTTGTATGTCACCAGCAAAAAATAAATAAGTACATATGTACTATTATTCCTTCTTATCAAATAAACTGGTTTTTAGGGGCTTTTTGGGATATTATCTGAATAGTATAAGATGTACTTCTAATATTATTATCAGCCCAACCCCCCCCCCCCCCAAGTCAAAGTTAAAGTTAATATTTACTTTCAATAACTGTAAAACATAAATAAAAATATAAATACATATAAAAATCGACAGTCAATTAAGACAAAGATATTAAAACTTATAAATTAAAAATGTATAAATATAACGAATATTGGATGAATAAAAATGTAATAAATATAATGAATATTGGATAAACCTGTTAAGGCCGATTGACGGATAATTGATTTTGCCGTTTTATAAGAGACGAGTGCATGATTTTTAATTAAAATGTCCCGTGATTCCCGGAATCATTATTTTTTATTTATTTTATCATGTAATGCTAAAGTTCATGAACTGTCTTGCGATTAACGCAATACCTCAAATAAGACTAAATATACATAAATGAAAAGCGTAGGAATAGTTTATATGGTGTTCCGCTATTTACGATTATCCGGTATTATTAAAATTTCAGATTTATGGCTCAAATGTAATAGTATGTTTCGTTGTTATAATATGATTCTTAAAAAAAAATGTCTTTCCTAACGATTCCTTAAAGAAAACTACTTGACATTTTTTCTTGATTCAAAATATGTGATCATATTTGCTTGAGACGAATATTATATGCTCAGAGTTTCTCTACGACATCAAATTGGGTATGAGGAGATAAGATGCCATTCTGGGGCTTGCTTCAGATGATATTTCATAAGGATGAGAAAGTGTATCAGTTCCGATGCACTGACGTCAGTCGGTAAGGTCACTCTGAAACCTGTTTACAAAATGATGGATATGTTGAAAAAAGAGAACAAGATGTTGTAGAAATCGTATCTGATCAAAACAGTTACTTTAGCCTGTCTCATGGGAAAAGGATAAAACAAGGATTCTGTTCTAAGGGAGGATATAATTAAAGCAAAATTTAAAGTAAATAAAATAGAATACATAATTATGCGATGGAGTTTGTTCCGCAAATATTAAATCTAAGATATAAAAAACTATATTGTACTCGTCACCACCTTTATTAAAAAGAGTATAAACATATAAGAGTGTAAATATATTAAGCTTAACGGATAATATTCAAAGGAATAAAGACCTAAAAGCGGAAGTTAATAAGGTTGAGACGATTAGACATACGATATTTTTTCCTTTTTAGATTAGTTAATCGATAGATTGTTTATAAATCTATTTCTTTGCCATGAATAGTCCAAGTTGGGCTGTTATATAAGAAGGGAAGGCATTTTGTTTTTAAAGCATAAACTGAAATTATGACATTATAAATAAATAATTCAATTTTGTAACTTCTCTCTTCAGTTGAATACAAACTTCTAGATATGACAATTATGACGGATGCACTACGAGGGATAAAAAATGTATGAAAAGAAACAGATGCAATATGAAAAGAAACTTATAGGATGTAGACCATGTTTAAATATGTAATATCGAAAAGATATGATTATTACGTCCAAAAGAAAAAGAGTGACTACAGTAAAAATGTGTATCTAGGTAAAATAAATATATATGGTTATACTAACAAATTAACTAAATTAACTCTGAATATTCTTGATATTGTAAATAATTGTGTTACATTGAAGAAAAACATATTCAAGAAGCTTTTAAGAGATCGAAGCAGCTTAAAATAGGCGGAAGAATATAACTCGTGATAAGAAGCAATTTCACTTGGAGTAATAACAGGTTTTCGTTTGCACCAGCAGCCGGTGTTTGCGTAAATACAATAACTCTACTTTTTATTCTCGTTGCTATCATTGCAGACCCATTTATATTTTTACAGCATATAAAATGATGAAGATAAGCGAAGCTTGAGTCACGATTTCAAGATAATATGTACTGTATAAATATCGAGATGCAAAATGTAAATAAATCTATTTATATATCTACAATTAATTCAAGTTGTATATTTTAATATAGAAATATGGTTTTCTGCACGACTTGAATTTAGACTAATTGCTGCCTACTTTGGTAATGATTACTAGTACATAACTGTATATATGTATTACACGTAATAAAAATTCCTGAATGTAAGTAGCCTCTGTGTGTGCTACTTTGTGATTGATCGATAGACTGATTAGCGCCGCAAATGTTACCAAGGAATCAGCGAATACTCAACGTTAATAAATTATTGCTGTATAATATGACTCGTGACTAGTCGACCTCGGAAGCCGGTACAGGAAATCTTTATTCTTTTTAAACTATGTCACATTCTTAAAAAAAACATAATCGTACTATAATTACAAACGCAATATTTTTTTGTCGTTTTTTTAAAAAAACGGGATTTAAAATTTATATAAACGTACATATTGTATCTAGCTTACTTTTTGTAAAAATTTTAAATACATATATATGTATACAATTTTTGAACATGCAATTTTCTTCACCCGCTATATCACTTGCGATTTCTAAGACTTATAAAAATATAACTGATTATATCGTAAATTTTTAATATTTTATATTAAAAATGGTACAAAACAGGTCATTATTCTAATAATCTTAGTCGTTGCAAAGCTGGCTCGTCAGTTAATGAGAAAGTTTCCAAGCTAATCCCGAAATTTTCCCTCGATGGCATCTTAGAACCTCATCTCAGCTTTAAAGGGGAGTACGTCTTAATGAGAAACACTCGTAAATTGTGTTTAATTAAGGCGTTTTCAAACAACCAACTGATTAAATGAAAGTTAGAAAATTTTATGAATTCGTTATTTTTGTTTGTTTGTGTAGTAAAAATAAAAAAAAAATAACAGTGTATTATTAAATTTTAATAATTATTCAGATTTCCCTTATAAAACTCTACCATTCGTACAAAACAAAATGATAAAATGATTACAAGTTAATCGTCTTATATAATCAAGTACTTTTATAGCTAAACATGATTACTTTCGTATTTATTAAAGCAAGAATTTTTTTTAAATAGTTCGTTATGTTGATATTATAAATTAAAAGAAGGTAAGGTTAAATAAGGACTAAAACGACAATTTCTTATATATCGGAAACACTTTGGAATTGATGTTCAAAAAATGTTATTAAATTGATTTAAATATTGTTTCGCGGTACAGAATTTACTTCAATTAATGTATTTTTATTTCAAGAAATAAACGAAAAATTCTGCAGAAGTCACCTTACATTAAGAAATCCCCTGTTATTGGTATTTACCGCAGTTGGGTTAATCGAATATATTAATTGATCATGGAAGGAAATTTTAATATAAACAAACGTTACTTTGTACTGGAAATTTACAATATTACGTGATTTTTAATTGCAGACATAAAACCACATAGTTTTATAACTATAGGAGGAAAACCAATAGTTAACTATTCAATTTGTCACATAGTAATAAATCGAATAAATCTATTAAAATTTTAATGTATTTAAAATAATGGAAAAATTTTCTGAAACAAAGATATTGTAAGACGTATCATTACTTAAATTTCGCAAAATCATTGCTAGTTTTAAGAATTAATTAAAGTAAGTCGTCAATAGGAGGCAATTTGACCTTTTAGTTCGTTAAATAAACGTAGTAGTCAATAAAATTGTAATGAACAAAATGAACCTGTAAAATGTGTTTTTTTTTGCCTCAAATAACTGCTGCTGAGATAAGTTTAGTTCTTAAAAGTACAAGGAATGTCTCATTAAAATGAAGACGTATTAATTACTATAAAAGAAAAAGTATGACTCAATTGTAATTTTCTTTAAGTTAAGCTTTAGGTTTGTTAGAAACATTTTTGAAATTCAAAGTTTTTTTTACATTCATTTTTACGGTGTCCTCATTTTTTTAATGCTTCTCATTTTATCCTCGAGGAATATATGTATGTTCGATTTTTTCACAAAGAATCGGTAAACGAATTTTTTAAAATCTGTAATTACGTCTATACTTTAACGTGGCTTATAAATTGACAATAAAGGCTCTCACTAACACAAACAATATCTCTAGTACTTTAATACGTTGTACTTTCTTTTTTAATTAAGAATTGCCTTGTAAAATACTTGAACATCCTTCACTAGGGTTTATTTTTTTTACCTAAGTTAAAATGAAAATATTGGTTTTCTTTACATATGTATATATACAAAGAATGACAGTACTAAGGTCAGTGGTGGCCTAGTGGTTAAACGTCCGCCTCTCATGCACGAGGGTGCGGGTTCGATCCGGGCAAGTGCCAATGTGATTTTTTAGAGTCATATGTACTTTCTGAGAGTAATTAGACAGCACTGACAGACGGTGAAGGAAAACATCGTGAGAAAACCTGGACTTACAATTTCACAATTATAGGTTTGAAATCACCAACCCGTTTTGGGCAAGCGATTAATGCATTCTCAAAAGAGGGTTGATGTCAGGTAAGCGGTCGGACGTAAAAAAAACAATTAGCCAAAACTATTTACAACATGTAAGACAGACCCTGGCTAAAGCTGGGAATTTGCCATGAAGAAGAAAACAAAGAATGACAGTACTAATCTCTTAATCTTTGATAAAACTATTAATCTAAATATTTTCATTTTTTGTTACTTTATTTTACCCTCTTTCAGGTTTTACTTTTAAAATAAAAATAAGTTAAATATAAAAAGTTGAAAAAACGTACTTAATATAAAATCATTAATTGAAAATGTATTGTTAAAAAAACAATATATATTATTAATTGTATGTAAATATTTTCCTCTTTCATTTCAGCAACAGGCAACAGAGCGCTATGGAAATTTAGCAAAAATTACAAATTTAGCAATTACATTTTATTGTAACTTTGCAAAAATATTTAAGCCTAGTTTATATATTAAACATCTAAAACATATTGTGATGGTGTAGAAACACGACTATTGTCGGTAAGTTTTTTGACTTTCACTTCCTATAAATTTGACTCTCATATATTCTACGGTGAACCAATAACTGGAAAATACTAGGAATCCATTGACATCCGGATAAGTCTTAACATTCCAATCATAAAACCATCGACTTGGAAAGTTTCGACGATAATTTAGAGGTCCTGCTAAAACATGTAGGCTCAAAACAGGAATTGAACTTGAAGTAGAAACTTTTCAAAATACAGTGTACGACTATTTTAGACATCTATATTCAACTCAAAATCGGTACTCTTGCAAAACAAAAAGAAAATCTTTAAAGATAAGGATAAAAGCCATAAAAATTACATATGCTTATAATAAACTTCTTCTCTTATTCATTGGGATCTATTTATTTTATTCTATTTAGTACTTACTTTAGGACTGCTTATCTTAGTAAATGTAAATAACTAAAACAATATTCAAGTTTCTATATCTGAAGCAAAAAAGCGAAAAGTCTGTTCTTGTGTATATAAATTAGCAATTTTTTGGTACTGCCTAAATTCCATTGGCATTACAAACAGATCTTAAATTTATGATTTAGTTTTTATTTAGTTACAAATTACTTATAACTTGTTCTCTTCCTATGGAAAATAAGAGTCTTTTCTTTTTCTATATTATTTGTAACAATTCTTCAAACTTTTTCTAATACATACATTTATTTTTTGAACAATATGTAGTAACGAAATAAATACAAAAAAATTTAATTTATAAATATAATGTTCTAATTCAAGAAACCTAATTTAGATATTTAAAACATTTAGTAACGTTTATTGGACACTTGACATTACATACATATAATATTAAAATAACTTTCATATCTGAAATAGTGAAGCATAACTTTATTTGATAAATTACAAAGACAGCCATTCTGAAAAAAAATCGGAGCGTGAAGTGAAATTCCAAAAGCTCCAGTTAATGTTCAATGACAGGTCATCAAATTACAACTTACATTTTTATTGCCTACGAAATATTCTTTTTATTCAATCGAATAAACCTTCTTTGTTATTTGAAAAGAATAAAAAAATCATATCTATTTAAATAAATTTGATAAAACATATTAATTTTAATGTTTAATATTCGTTTAAATATTATTAAAAAAAACTATTAATTGAATTAGGGATATAACGACTCTATCACCCAACATGTAGCCGGTAATATTAGTCAATGGGAACTACTAACTAACTCGGGGAAGCCCTGAAGTCGATCTTGGTACTTCTTTGTTCGGCAGAATGAGCTGTTTAGAACGCCTCCTTATCTGGGGGAGGGGTATTGCAGCGTCCTTCAGGAACACTAACGAAACTGCGACAGATTTTTCTAGAAGAGTAGAATCTGAAGTTGAACGGACTCGTCACAACCTTGTTAAAGTGGTGAGCTCGTGTGCCTTTGCGATCTTCAAAGCCATACCTGGTAGGACCTTCTACATATGGCACTAACGCTCACGGTGAGATATAAGACAAAGTAATGGACGGTCTTCTCCAAGTAGGTCGTGTAGGATGGTTGGCTGGTGTGGGTAACATCCGGAAACAATTCATAGGGCGTCATCGACATCTTGCCCCCTCAGTCAGTGACATTAGTGGTAAGCTTGTTTAGGTGAATGGAACTGGGAATTCGGTTCTTAACTTCGACATCGTGGTCACCTAGGAAGATGGTGTAAATGTATGTAATTATAATGAGTATGGTAGTATTTATATTTTATATTTATTTATATAAATTGTTAGGGTCTAAGAACACAACTGGCATTTGTGAACACGCTTAAGTACTACATGACTGGATCAGTCACTGAACGTCGAATAGAATAAGAAGGTAATAAAAAATTCTGCTTAAGGTATTGTAATACTAACATTATAAAATATGTTTAAAGGGTGATAAATAAAAAGTATTTATATGATTGCGAAAACGAGCAAGGAAAAGTAGTTAAATATCTGCAACTCGGAAAGGACGCAATAATTCAGATCGAAATTACGTAGCCGATCTTTTAAGTTTGCCTCTTGGTTATTTTTAATTGTAGATATCTTTTACTGCAATTCAATTCAATTTAATTTTAAAACAATTATAAAATAGATTTTAAACCGGTACTAACATTATTTTTAAGAAAAATATATTTATGTTTAAACTATTTTATCCCCCATGTTGTTAATCACAAAATCCCTGAATGTTAATATAAACTGAATCCAATGCAATAATTTTATTCTCTTTATAAAGTGTCGTTATAATTATTTGGTTCTTAAAATTTCACTAATTAAAATAAATAATTATCTCGGTTATTTTTTTACGTCCGTACGTTCTTTATCAGATTACTTTTAACTAAAAAGCAAGTGGCCGTTTAGTGATATGAATAAAATGGTTGGGAATATATAAGTTTTGTTGTTGAAATGTAAATGATTTATACATTAAGCCTTGTTAACACTGCATTGCAGTAAAACATCAGTGTTCACGTTGAGCGTTAGAAAGTGAATAGATAACGCACTTGATAAATTTGAATACAAAATTACTCACACAATGTTAATGTTTAATATCACTGAAATATTAACGGGAACTCAATATACCTTTATGAAAGAAATTTTCATTACGTATTAAATTTCGATTATTTATAAGAAATATTTGTGAAAAACATGCCTTTTTTTTAAAAACCTTATTATTCTAGTTAAATATTTTATCTACATATAACTTTAAGACGACAGGAAGCCGTCAGAGAAGTGACACCGATATAATCGTTATATTTATCTTGTCTGTTTTAAGAATGCTAGCAATATAAAATAAAAACCGAGAATTTATTTTTTTAATAGCATTATAGCAAAAGAAATAGCGGATGTTAAAATGTTAACATTATTAATTTCATATTTAACCCTAAGATTTTGCAATAACCCTGAAGAATATTCGTCATTTCGTTTTAAGTATTTTCACCGTTCAGCAGAGCATTTTCTGTCTCAAAAAAGTGGGTATTAATCTTAGCGTGCATTTTTTTACATAAAATATTCAATTTGTTAAAAAAGATTGATGGTTTCCTATGGTATTTTATGTAAGGATCCTGCGTCCTTAAACTAACTGAAAGCTCGTCAATAACTGTCCGATAATTTTTCATTACTCGTTAACCTCCCACAGAAATTCAACATTTTATTCAATTAAATTACTATTAAATTTAAATTTTTCAGATATGTAAAATATATCTATTAAATTTTAAAATGGTGACAGTGGAAACTTATGTAACGAAATTCATTAGTAAGACATTGTATATTTATAAAAACTGTATCTTTTTTTCAGAAAAATATGTCAATTATTAAATTAATTTAAATCACGTTTTTATGTTTAAACATGAAGCTTTTGTGTTAAAAATCACTTTATCATTATAATGGCATTAAGAACGAGATATAAAAGCAATTTACTGTAAAACTCAACAAGATTATAAGATTTGTTTGTTTTTATTTAGCTGAAACATCATAATTTGCTCTATATATGCTATTATTTCTTAACTCTTATAAGTATTAAAATATACGAATACTAAATATTTATCAATTAATCCCCATATTAATCCACCTATACATACAATTACACCAATAAATATCAAAACATACGTTTTTGCATTAATCAGAGTCGATTAAAACAAAATAAGAACTCCATTTCATTTTTTTAAATGTAAAAAGCACTCATAATACGAGTAATAGTATTTCTTGACTGTACGAGTTTCTTTACCATCACTCTGAAAATTTTGTTTATTAATTTACCTTCATAATTTCTATGGGAACTTTATAGCGTCAATGGATTAGTGAAACCATTTTAAGTGAATGTGCTATTTATAAAATAACCCTTAACTTAAAACAACAACCTGTAGAATAAATTAATTGAGAATATTTTAGTGATGTAAAGGAAATGAGAATTATTTATTTATTATGACTAGCTTGTTAGCCAGAAGAAATATTTGAAAAGGTGTTTGTTTTGCTTATATCGTATTTGAAAGGTAATATACTACCAGAAAACTTAAAGCACAAAGAGTCACTAATAGAATGACTTCTACCAATTCGATCACTGTTGACCGCATTATGAGTTTTAAAGGCCAAGTTTATTTTTAACTTTTAAGTTTTATGTTGTATATCATGACTTCTTTAATACGATTCAGTTATTTGCGATTCAGTGATAAAATATTTGTTAGATTTAAGCATATGTTTAAACAGTTTATTTATTTATCAAATTTGTTTTTTAGTTTTGGGTCCAAAGTTAATATAAATCACCTCTTTTCTTTAATTCTCGTATCCTGAAAACAATTCGAACATTATTTTTTTAATACAATTCATCTCTCGTTAAACCTTAGCATACATTTTTTAATTTGAATTTGCAACATATCTATATTTTTTTTAGCCTATCGGAAGCCCACTGCTTTGCAAGGCCTCTTTCTCTCATGGAGAAGGTTTGAGCGTTAATCACCACGCTTGCTCAAGACGGGTTAGTGATTTCAAAATTTTATTTTTTTTGAAATTGTAAGTCCAGGTTTACTCACGATGTTTTCCTTTACCGTCTGTCAGTGGTGTCTAAATACTCTTAGAAAGTACATACATATGACTCGGAAAAAGTCACATTAGTGCTTGCCAGGGCGAGGATCGTACCCGCGCCCTCGGCAACGAGAGGCGGGCCCTTTCACCACTAGGCCACCACTGACTTATATTCATACATTACATATATAAAATATATATGTATGTAATGTATGAATATATATTTCAAATTTTATTTCGACTTAGGCCCAGTTTCTTCAACCTCTGTTTGTTAAATTCAAACGAGGTTTTTACTAACGCACCTTCAAAAATATAATTGTTTGTTAAAATATTTAAGTTCTACGATGAAAAATTAACAACGCATAATAAATGTCACCAAATTATTAATTCTTGCTATCACGTTCACGTTTTATACGACATGTTTGCTGCGATGCATCACTTTATCCTTTGATTGTATAATCCTTCAGTACGTCACTTGTTAGCTAATGTAATCAAATCTTATATATCGTTGATTGCATAGATTTCTCATTCAAAAAGCTTTATTTTCAGTTTACTAGGTATAATACGGCATAATTTGTATTCAAGTTATTATAAGAGATGAAAAGAAAACTTAATTTGCAAAGTCATAGAAAAGCTTGTTGCAAAATTTTTCATTACATGAAAAATAATTTTTAATTCACTTTATTAATAAATACAAGGAAATAGGCGAAACTGACGAAACAGATGTCATGACTATGACTACAAGAAATCAGGGGTGCGATTGGATATTTGAATTTTGAAAAAACTATAGATCAGAGTTTTTCAACCTTATTCGTATGACGACCCTTTTAGTATGAAGAAATATGTCAACACCCCCTTAATCGTATTAAATATTGAATCCAATACAACGGTCAATTTGGATACTTTTGAATACCCTTTAGTTAAGAAGGAAATCCGAGTACTCAGAATTAACATTCTACAACAGAGCTTTGAAGTGTTTGATTCCATTTGAAACCTCGTACTTCTGCTAGTTGACATTTTCGTCAAGTATATTTCAATTTATTGTTTAATGATAAGTAAATGATTGTGATGAAAAAAAATTCTGAAGTAATTATTATTTTTTGTTTACACAAATGATTAAGTATGTCTTTTTGTTACGATAATTTTAAATAAATCTCTACAAATGTTATCGTTTTTTTTTTACTGCTAGCTATCTCAATCTCAATCTCTAGCAACTCTACTATAAAAGCTTCGCTGCCCCTTCAGAGAGCCTTCCCGACCTCCCTGGGGGTCGGGACCCACAGGTTGAAAAACCCTGCAATATATTAACAGTCTATTAGGCATTTGACGAACCTCTAGAGCAGGAATTAATATTAATGTCTTGTTAAGTCTTTGAAATAAAAATTAGTGCATGGTGGGACGCTCGATACATCTAACAGATCATCACACGCTTTAATAGGACGTTATTTATTTAACATTGATTCGTGAAACTGGGTCTTAATTAATTTTTTAAATTAATTATTAAATGTCTTCAATTTTTTCTTTCATATTAGTGTACCGACAACTACTGCATTCTGCAGGACGAGAAAAACTTTCGAAGCCATTGCTTCCAAGTTGATATAATTAAGTATGATAAAATCAAAAATTCATTTCTTGATCCTAACCTCGCTGTATTACTCTTGAACTACTGAAACAATAGATTTCAGAAGCGTTATAACTTTGACACATGACTAAACATTCTCTTATCGTACATATCCAAATGTTGTATTTAAAATGATGAACTAGATGTATATATTTTAATGAACATATAATTTCCAATTACATTAATAAAATTTGTAATTTTGCAACAGTTTCAGAATAGAAGAAACTTTCTCAGTGAACGCCTTAAGGTTTAATGGGGGACCATAAAAAACGGATATAAAATACCAGTTTGCCTCGCCCCGGGTGTTATATTCCAGGAGACAGAATGA